TTTTATATTATTTACAGTCATATAACAAGTTATTAGTAAATGTTAACAATAAAAAAAATTTACTTCACTTGGGAAAAAAATAATTTATGCATTATTATTTGTACATTTGCCCAAAAGCAGTCAAAATGACTTCCTTGAGCAATCTAGTGTTAAATAATAAATTAATCGCGTCTCGTTGACGAACGTAGGAATAATAAAGTGAATCGTTACAATGAGGTCATTGAATTTTTAATGAAACCAGCCGGCCTGTTATTAAACCAAGTTACAGCGAAATCGCAGAGAGTTCTCATTCGAAAGCAGCAGCGAGCCTTGTGTACACGCTAATAAATTATTTCACGCGCACGCGTGTTCCAAGGCTAATCCGTATAAAATACGGCCTCCCGTTTTCCTCGCATTTTTTTTTTTTTTTTTTCCCGCCCCCTCGATCGGGCTGATTAATCTTTAGCCCGATGCAAGGCCAGACACGAAATACGAGAAAATGCGAGATTAAACGCGCGGGGGCGAAACGCATCGAGGGAGATCAAAGGGTTGTTCCGCTTGATAAACGAAGCCGGGCTGGGCGCTCAAATTATTTCCATCGCAACGTCTTTAATTAAACAGGAATCGGCGTTAAAAAATTACGACGGTTACGACCGGTTCATCGCGTCGGTCTTAAATCAATGCGGGAACAAGCATACGTGCGAACGAGATGAAATCAGATTTATGGCACTTGTATAAAAGAATAACTGGGTCGGGAATGAAAACGTGGGATTGCCAATGCTGGAACGTGTTTCGGTTAATCCTCTCCTGGGACTAAGCGCTCTCTATTGTATTTGCAAAATAATTTAGCCTGTTGAAAGGATTCAAGACTGATTCTGCTTTTTATACATACATACACGTGACAGATACATGGTACATGATAGAATTCAGGTTTACACGTGTTTGCCATGCGATTTCGGAGTCTGTTAATAAATTATCGATATCCTGTCTAATACACCGAGACCATCCGGACACGTGGAGTAAATCATTGAACAATTCTCGCGATTTCTTCCAATTGTCGCAGCTTCCAGATACTCCTCGTCCATCGTAGGTCCAGGCCTAAAACGCGAATCTCGTTAATAAAAAAATATGATATTAAATTCATGATTGTTTTTCCTTACGTTAATAGTAAATCCAATAATTCACCGATCAGTCCTTCGTCTCTTAAGGGCGAAGCTGCTGCCTCGCAGATGTTCTTCTTTAAACATTCTTTTCCATCAATGTCTCGCCTAAAATTGTTTGTTAATAAGTGCATTGTATTAGAAATGTTAAAAAATGGATACAATATTTACATGGTAAATGGAATGTTTATTTAACCAGTTAACTGTGTCGATCATTTTGCAAAGTGCGCCCCAGTGTGTGTGTCGCGATAATCAAGCGATGACGGATATAGTCGTCAAACACAGAGTAAGTGGCGCTGTTGAAATATTGGGTCAAAAATACGACTTTATTTTAGAAAATGAATGAATTTATTCACGGATATAGCTGTCATAACACAAAATTCTGCCATTCTTCCATGACGGATATAGTCGTCAAACACACTTAACTGGTTAAATAAGGAAGCGTTACCGTGAAC